GCCAGCCTGGACTACATAACAAGACACTGTCTCAAAAAACCAAACAAAGGCAGAAAAATGGCTTCAAATAATGAAGAATGTATTTCAGATAATCTTCAAAGTACTTAAACTCCAAAGTTACTGGGCCTCAGCACCCAAGTTAAAGCACTCCTTCATAGGAAGTTCTCAAAAAGATCTCATCAGAAACAACTTAGGTTTCTGGGGGGTTTGTTTTTTGAGACAAGGTCTTGCTTTGTAGTTCAGGTTGGCTTCAAACTTGTGGTGATCCTGCTCCCTCAGCCTAGTGCTGGGATTACAGGCGTGTGCCACCATACCTGGCAACAACCTGTAAAACCTTACCTTACTTGTGATCAAGATCACACAACAAATCGGTAATCCACACACCAATGCATCCTGGGTCATCTCTGGACTCTTTGTTAGTCCTGTGCCCAGCAGCCCAGCCCTTCTGGGGTTAATGAAGTCACTTCAGTGAGACACCCTGTCCCTCATGACTCACAGATTACTCATCCCTTATTCATCCCTTATTCGGCCTCCCCGGTGACCAGCAAATAGAGGCTTGGCTGCCTTGCCAACTACCTGAACACAACAGGTGACTCGGACCACAGGTACAATGAGAAAGGGGGAGAGTGAAAGAGAAGAATTTGCTTTCTCCATCCCAGGCTGAGATGCAAAGTGCCAAGCAAAACAAAGGAGTGTCTCTCATAGAGGGAACTCTCTCCCTTGGTGGACCTAAAGGCAAGGTCCTTAGCATCCCATAGGGACTGTTACCACTTAAGGCCCCAAAACTCATGTTTTTATTTCTAAGCCCACTGAGCCTTCCTCCCCTCACCCTACAACACCAGATACATTTGCCTGTTCCTCTGTTTAGGTCACTGTCTTCCTCTCATCCCAGGGGGAGGCCAGGGAGAGGACATGTCTGCTTTGTTCATGCTCTACTGAGACACTGCCTGGCATATGGTAGGTGCTCAATTACTTTTGTTGGTTAATCAATAAATACCCATTTCAAACTGCCTTGCCTGCAAGCAGGACAAGCACCTCTTCTATGAAGGACAAGGGTTATGTTAACATACACCTTGGAGAAGCCCCAGCTGATCTCCAACTGACTCCAGCAACCCTTGAGGTCTCAATTGGCATCTTATGTTTGACCTAGGTCACAACTATCCACCCGAGTGACAGCTCATAACATGCTAACTGGAAATTTGCTGGAAAGTCTGCCTTGTAATTAAGGGGATGGGAAGCAGTAATTAACCCAAGAGGTTAATGGAAATTGAAGATTGTTGGGCCAGGGATTTAGCTCAGTGGTTCTGGCGCCTGCCTCACAATCTCAAGGTCCCAAGTTTGATCGACAGTACAAAAAAAAAAAAAAAGAAAAAAGAAATGGAAGGTAAGTACAGTGGAGGCCCTGGAATGAATGTGGTCATGCTTGGCTGCAATGGAAATTCCCAACTTTCAACAAAGATCCAGTCAAGTAAACAGGACACAAGCACTGATGCCCAAGGGCTGGCAAAATGTTATTGGGGATGGGGTGGTGGAGGTGTTATCAAAGCAGGAACTACACTTCACTGACTGCTCCTGAAGGGACTTCCAAGTTCTACTCCGAACAAGAAATAAGCTATCTGCCCTTGTGCTGAACAAAATTATGTGTTTCAGAATCCTCCAAATATCAGGATTTGTCTCCTGGAAAGGGAGAGAAAAAAAAAAATCACACATCCCTGCACCCACCTGATAAAGGGTATTTTCCCTCTCTTACAGTGCTAAACCACAAGCTAACTGCACTGCACAACTTATAAGAGCTCTTGGGTGTTACCCACCTCCTTTTACAACTAAATGGAACATATTCTTTTTTTTTTTTCCTTTTCATATGGGGATCGAACTCAGTTCCTTGGGCTTAGGGAGGCTGGCACAGTGCCACTGAGCTAAACCCCTGGCCTTAAATGGAGCATATTCTTAAGGAGGGGGCCACACCCCTAAGGCCTACAGATTAAGGCAGGGAAATAAAAATGGGAATGATTACTGACTTGGAGGAGTGGCAGGTGTCCTGTCCAAAAGAGGCTCTCAGCTCTAGGCCATGGTTATGATGTGGTAACAGTCAGCTTCCACCAGCTCTTGTACTCTTCAGGCAAAGCCATAAACCAATTTTTTAAAATATATAAAATGCCTTATTGTACACGTCACCTAAAGGCTGTGTGAGGCCTCCTGGGAGGGACCAGTTTCCACTGCAGCCTGGAATTGACCATGAACACTGGAAACACCCAGCAGAGGGTCAGCTTTCGCCACTTTACACGTCTGGGGCCAGGACACTTCCCCAGGCCCTCCAGCACCGTGTGCACCCACTATACCTTCTCCTACTCCCCTCTACCACGGAGAGCCTCATCACCACTGTCAGTCTCAGAACAAAAGACGCTGACCCCAGAAAAGCAGCTCCAAACTCCAGTGTAAGCCTCATCCCCTGTTCTGTTCCCACCTCCATCCCCCAATTCCTGAGCCCTCCACAACTCATGATCTACCTTCTCAAACATATCCTTTCTTCAGTCTCTTCTATGAACACTGTTGTCACTTTTCTCTAACCAGAATCTGGACCTCTTTCTTGCAGACCATTCTCCTTCCACCCTCCCAACCCCCAGCTGCAGATTGCAGGTCCTCAGAGTCCACTGCTCACTGCCCGCTTTGTGCGTCCCTGGCTCTCTCTCCTCCATAATCTCTGTCTGGATTCACTCCTCTCAGGCTGCTTCTATCACCACTCTTGGGATCCCCTGGTCTCCTCTCCCAGTAAACCTGTCTCTCCCACAACCTTCCCTCTTATGGTCACACCTAGACCTTGTCTCGGTAACAACACCCTTTTCAGATCCTCAGTTTCATTACCTCCACTGTATCCTATCTTCCTAGTTCATTCCCTCCAGAACCTCAACTCCAAAAGCCAGTTGGCCCTACCACTTTTCCACTGACCCTCAGCCCCCCCAGGTCTTAACAAAGATTCAATTCCATGAGCAACTATTCTTTACCATCCCTCCCTTGTACACATTCCCTTCTCCCTTCTTCACATACCTACTGGGCAGCACCTGTGCAGCTGCCTGTGCCAGGAGAAACACCTCACTCTTAGCAGATGACCTTGCCTTATGAGAAAAGCAAAGCCATGGGGGGAAGGGGAACCAAAATCAAAAGGGCTTCCTGCCTCAGATTAAGCTGTTCAAGCTTTCAAACAAACAGCCCTTCAGATAAGGGAGGGCAGTAGTTCACCCAGCCAAACAGGAGTATTTCTGAAAGGTCAGTAGGTCCAGAGAGCCACAGCAGAGTCAAGGGGCCACTGTGGACAGAGAAGGCCTATGCAGTCAGGCCTGGCTTTGTCAATTACTATAGTTTGACCTTCAACAAGGCCTGAGGTGTCACTACCACACCAGGTTGTTTCCAAGATTAAAGGACACATTTGAGCTCAGAGTAAACTGTAACCAGATACAGTCATAGGCCAGGCAACTAGAAAAACAGCCTAACATAAATTACTTCATCAGGAAAAGCACAGAAGGGCTGCCAATCCTGGTTCAACACCTGCAGTCCTGGTTCCGGGTTCTCTAGAGCTGAGCCTCTCCCCACTGGCCATTGGCATCCAAAACAGATCTTTCTTTTCCCCCTGCCTCAGGCATCGGGCAATTAACCATTTTCCAGAAGTTACCATAGGGGATGACTTGGCACATCCTTCCTGCTTTCTCTCATTTTCATCCAATATGCTCGCCTAAAAAGCCCTTGGCCACCTGGCTCCTGCCCATTTTTCTCACCTCCCTCACTTTCTGCTCCAACCCTGAGGTATCTGTCTTCCTGGCACACAACCAAGCCTGTTCTGGCCTCAAGGCCTTTATACTCCATTACCTCCAACTGGATACTGGTGTCGTCAGTCCTCCCAGCCCCACCCCATGGTCTCTGTGTGGCTGCAGCCTCTTCATCATGTTAGGGCCGCCAAGGATTTAGCTCAGAGGTGCTGCCACCTGCCTCGCAAGCACAAGGTCCTGAGTTTGATTCCCGGTACCAAAAAAATGTTAGGGCCCTCATGTCACCCTCCCCAGAGAGGTCTCCTGCCCATCTGAGCTAAGCAGCCCCCATCACCTTCCTTACTTTGCCCTGTTCATTTATCTCTTAGTCATTTAATTATGTGGCAAGTGCACTTTGTTTAAATGTCCACTTAACTGCCACTCCTACCGGAATATAAGCTCTAAGAATGCAGGAACCTGGCTTGTCTGAATCAATCCTTATCACCAGAGCCAGCACAGTCCCTGATGCTGAGCAGGGACTCATTAAGTTTGCTGAATCAATGAAGTTTTCTTTCAAGGAAGCTCTCTTCAAATCCTGCTGGTGCTTGTCTGAAGCAGGTAAGGTTGTAACAACACTTGAGGAAGCCAACCCCAGACGCTAGGTGCCAACACTTTCACACCAAGGCGCGCTGGCCTTTGCGCCCTGGCAAATTTCTCCATCTTTTTTTTTTTTTCCTTCCTTTGAGCATCGCTGGAATCCCTTCTTCTCGGGGGTTTACATCAACTAAATTAGAAAGGTTTCTTCCAGGGCTGGTGCCCAATACTCTAGGAAGTGAGAAAGGGGGCTTCGCTCCTGAGCCCAAAATGCCACCAAACCACACCCACTGAGGCCTGGGCTCGCTTGGCTTTCCTTAGCCAAGGAACTTTTCACTGCCAGGAAGAGTGCGCAGTTAGGTTCCTCGCCCCTCTCCTGCCACAGCAAGGGCCAGCGCCACTTGTCCTCAGTAAATACACCTCCTGTCTTCTCTCCCGCAGGGAAACAGGATAACCCTTGCTCCTGTGCCCGCCGTCCATTCCCAAGGACCCCAAATCTCGCTTAAGCAAGGCTCAATCCCTACAGGCCCTGACCATCACCAGATCGTCCCCAATCCCCCCCCCTTCCCTGCGACTCTCCAGCTCAGATCTCACTTGACACCCCCACATCCTGCCCCTCCGGGCCTGCGTCATCCAGTCCTCCTTGGACACCCACTGGGGCCTCACCGTGGATGCGTCGATCTCCGTCGGTGGCCTCGGCCCCGGAGAAGAGCAACGACGCCAGCAGAGCGAGGAGCGCCCGGCCGCGCCACTGTCCACACAGCTGCGCCATGACTGCCCCCACCAGCTCGCACCCGCCAGGAAGCCTGGAGCCGCCCGCCTTTGGGGTCTCGCGATCAGGTGCGGGAAGACCCTGGCCGCGCAGGCGTGCTGAAGCCTGGCGAGCTCAGGTGCGGGCGCCCGAGAGGGTCTGCGGTGCCCAAGCCCCCGGAAACCCCTTCTCCGACCCTCGGGGTGCAGACACTGCCTTCTCCGCGCGAGGCTTCAGGCCGCTCCTCACGCAACCCTCAATCCCCGGCGACACGCAGACTCGCTCCAGGCCTAGCCCCCACACCTCCCAGCGCTCAGGGGACGCCTGAGCCAATGGCGGACGCTCGGAAGCAGCTAGAAGGTGGCAGTCAAGCAGGGGGCGGGGCGCACCTGCGGGGGGGGGGGGGGTTCAGGGCGCAGGCGCAGTGGGCGGGCACCCGAACGGCCCCTTCCCCGCCCTCGACGCACCTGGCCCCGCCTCCCGGCTGGAGAGGGCGGGTATTGTGTTGGCTCCGCCCCAATAGAACCCGGCCGGGTGGAGACTCTGGCCGGTGGTGAGGTGAGGTTCCTGGAACCTTGTAGGGGACTTTGGCGACGAGGTCCGAGTGACTTTGCTTTTGGCTGAGCCTCTGGGTTGGAGACAAATCACTTGGAAACCTGTGGCTTTCTGCCCGCTTTGCTTTAGCCTTCGTTTGAAGGCAAGGGATTTATACCTTCCTGAATTCAGCGTTCACTGAGCCCCTGCTCTGTGACGCGATGCTGGGAACCCAGCGATGGTCACACCAGACTGATCTTTGCGTCACCAGGCAGTCGAGGCCCGGAGGAGCTCTGTAAAGTGACTAGAGTTGCGATGAAGAAAGCCTAAGGTTGAGTAATCAAGAGCTGGAACTGTGGAGACCCAGGGCATGGTGGGAGTCCAGACAGGTCCTGATCCGATCTGAGAACCCCACCGGAGGCCTGCCTGGAGGAGGTGCTGGACCCAGGGTTCTCAGCACAGATTTGAAGACAAATACTTCACCAGAGAACCACAGGGAGGCGTGAGGATTGCAATGCGGAAGCTCACTCAGGCTGAGGGCTCAGAGCCAGAGGGTGGAAGTTCAAGGGAGGCCCCTCTTGGGGTCTGGGAGGCTTCCTGCAGGAGGCGCTGTATGAGCTGTCCCAAGGGAAGGGGGCAGGAAAGCAGTGGAGAGCAGTCAATGGGTAATTAAATAAATTCTTTATTACTGAAAACAGTAGGAACCGAGTGTGGTGGCGTAGTAATCCCAGCACTCAGAAGGCCCAGGCAGGAGGATTGCTAAGAGTTCTAGGCCAGCCCGAAATACATGTTCAGACCTTCTCTCAAAAAGAAAAAAGGTGGTGGTGGGGGGGGATACATGAATGCATGAGCAGTTGGGATGGAAAATAATATCAAACATTTTAACTAGATAGTGAAGGAATGGCTTGGTTGAGACAGTGGCTTTGATAATAAACCGAGGGCCAAGAAAGGACAAGGGATAAATATTCCATGAATCAAGACCAGTAAATCCTAGGCCAGGGATTTAGGTCAGTGTTGATGGGCCTGCCTCAAAAGCTCAAGGTCCTGAGTTCAATCCTCAGTACCAAAAAACAAACAAAAAGCAAGCAAACAAAAAAGAACACCAAATGCTACCAGGGCTTGGTTGTGCACACCCATGATCCCAGCACTCTGGGAGGCTGAGACAGGAGGACAAGTTCAAGCCCATCTTAGGCAATTTAGTGAGACACTGCCCCAAAATGGGGAGGCATGCAAAGCTCAGGGCAAAGACCCTGGGTTTAACTCTCAGCAAGTGCAAAGCTCTGAACGCAGGAGAGACTTCAGTATACTGGTGGCAGGAGCCAGGGCCACGCCCACTGTTCAGCCTTATATTTGAAGAACCTCAGCCAATTTATCCACAAGAGGTTTACACAGTTAAGGGTTTCTGTTAGATTTCTATGCACGTCCTCTCTCACCTTGCAGTGGGTTCAGGCTCTGATGGTGAAGATGGGTCTCTCCCAGCACTGGAACCCCCGCCAAGCCCGGGCTTGAGCAAGTGGCAGGAGCCAAAGGCAGGAGAGGAAGCCAGGCCTGTCCCCTCCTCACTAGCTCAGAGCTGTTTCACCAAATTCACTTAGCAGCTCTCAGACCCAGGTGTGGTTGAAAATGCTGAGAAATATACAACAGTCAGCAAAGCCAAATGCCTGCCTGCCAGAACAAACTGTCCACTGGGCAGAGCTGGTACATTTGACACTTGGAGTGGGCACTTTATTCAAACACCCCATTTCTCTACCAGAAAATTATTTTCTAGAAGAAACACATACCACCACGTCCTGAGTTTGATCCCTGGTACCAAATAAATAAACAAACACATACCAGAGAAAGAGAGAGAGAGAATAAATACATACATGTGTGAGATCCTGTGTTCAATCCCCAGTCCCCACAAAATAAAGGACAAAATTGCAATTTATAGATTTTTTTCTTTTTTTGGTAATAGGGATTGAAGCCAGGCCTGTAATCCCAGCACTCTGGAAGGCTGAGGTAGAATGGCCAAGAGTTCAAGGCCGGCCTAAACAACATAGCAAGACCTCATCTCAAAAAGAAAAAGGACCAAAAAAAAAAGACTGAATCCAGGGCCTTTGCACTGAGCTACATCCCTAGCCCTTTTTAATTTCTAAATTCTGAGATAGGGTCTCTCTTAGTCACTCAGTTGCCCAGACTGGGCTCAAAGTTGTGATCCTCCTGCCTCAGCCTCCCAGAGTTTTGGGATTACAGGCATATGCCACCATACCCAGCTTTAAAAATCTTTGTTGGCTTTATTTTTAATTCTAGAACTGGGCAACATTTCATTCCATAAAAAGAATAAGCATTTTGATGAGCTGAGCAAAAGAGCTTAGTTTTATAGATAGAGAAGGGCTGAAGAAAGCAGAAACAACAGAGCAAAAAGTGAATTGGACATTTCAAAGTTACTTTATTAGGTGGGGCAGACGGAACAATTGGAAAATGCAAATAATGCTCAAAGTCTGATTATTTCTGGGTACTTCTTTTGTATAAGGATTAACTCGTTTCAATTGAAACTATTTGTAAAGTTTGGCCATTATCTTTCTAATTGTTATTTCTCCAAAGATCAGATAAAGGTTCCCAGGGTGCCGGAGACTCAGCTTCACTGAGCCATGCACCCATTCCGGTTTCCAGCCAGCTTGTTGCAGGCCAGGGCAGGAGTTTAGGCCAAAACAGTGTAATGCTGGGATTACAGGCCTGCACCACCACATTTGGCTCCCAGCTACAGTATTTAGGAGGCTGAGACAGAAGGATCATAAATTTGAGACCAGGCTGTACATGGTGACACACACCTGTAATCTCAACACTCAGGAGTCTGAGGCAGGAAGACTGCTGTGAGTTCAAGGCCAGCCTGGGCTACATAGTTTCAGGCCAACCTGGAAGAAACAGGGAAGCCCTGTTTCAAAACAACTAATAATAATAGCTGGGGATTTAGCTCAGTGGTTCCACTGCCTGCCTCTAAAGCACAAGGACCTGAGTTCAATCCCCAGTACGCAAAAAACACAACTAATAATAATGAATATTATCAATTAATAATATTTAATACACAATAATAATAATTTCAAGACCAGCCTAGACAATTCAATGAGAACCTTTCTCAAAATGAAATTTAAAATTCAGTTAAATTTAAACCAGGTGTGGTGGCAAACTCCTGTAATCCCAGCACTCACGAGGCAGAAGGAAGGAGGATTCACTGTTTGAGACCAGCCTGGGCTACATAGTGAGTTCAAGACCCCCCTGAACTACATAGCGAGGCCCTATCTCAAAAAACAGTCAGGGCTGGGGATTTAGCCCAGTGGTTCTGCTGCCTGCCTGGAAAACGAAAGGTCCCGAGTTCGATCCCTGGTTCCAAAACAAACAAACGAACAAACAAATATGCAACCTCACAATCATTGAATTTCTACTGTGCTGCTTCATAGCTCTCCACAGAAGTTACCGTATTGTAGTAAAGTGTCTCTAACATCCTGCACTTCCTATGTTCATTTTGTCTCTGCAAAAGCTCCAGCAGGCTGGGTGGATCCTTTTGTTCACCACTCTCTTCCTGGTCCCCAGATCATGGTCTGGTGCAGAGCAGGGACTCAGGAACTATGTATTCACCAATAAATCAATAGATGGATGGGTGGGTGAGGGAGTGAATGAAGCACCCAGCAAGAAAATGAGTTCAAAAACCGCCTGTAATCCCAGCACTCTGGGAGGCTGAGGCAGGAGGGTTGCAAATTTAAACCCAACCCCGGACAATTTAGCAGCAAACTCACACACACACACACACACACACACACACACACACACACACACACACACACACACACGGTTCATGGCTGGATGGGTAGCATAGCGGCAGAGCTCTTGCTTAGCATGTAGGCGGCCCAGGGTTTTATCCCCAGCGCGGAGGACTCCAGACTGGACCTCCTGCAGCCAAGTCGGCCGGGCCCCAGCACTGTCCCTTGCGACCACCAGGGGGCGTGGACAGGCCCGGTCCTCCAGAGCCTTTCCTCTCCGGACCCCGCCTCTGGGATGCAGGCCGGGGGGTTGGGGGAGGCCTAGAAAGCAGGACTGGCCTGGTCTTTCGGACCCTCCGTGCCCAAAGCAGGGAGGACTGCGGGTTTCCGGCCGGCGCCGTGGCCTGGCCTCAACGCTACAGGCGGGGAAACTGAGTCTGGGCGATTGGGGCGGCGCCCCCACCCCCGTGAGAGTGAGCCCCGCCCCGCCCCGGCCCCGCCCCGGCCCCGCCCCTCCCGGCTGTTAGAGGCGCCCCGGCTCGGCAGATGCCAAGCGCGCGGCCGTCGGCTCGGGATGGCAGCGCAGCGGCTGGGCAAGCGCGTGCTGAGCAAGCTGCAGTCCCCGTCGGGGGCCCGCGGGCCGGGGGGCAGCCCCGGGGGGCTGCAGAAGCGCCACGCGCGCGTCACCGTCAAGTACGACCGGCGGGAGCTGCAGCGGCGGCTGGACGTGGAGAAGTGGATCGACGGGCGCTTGGAGGAGCTGTACCGCGGCAGGGTGAGACCCCGAGGGCCCGGGGCTGAACGGGGGGGG